GCGAGCGTCTGAGACTCGGCTTAAGCTCGAGCGCTAGCCTTGACAGCGCTTTCTTTGAGCAGTCTCAACTGAGAATCTGCTTTGAGCAAGCCGGCCCTAGTATCGTTTCCAGGTGGCCTAGCTGTTGGTTTCGGTTTCGCTGCATAATCAAATTGATTGATCCGATTTGGGCGAGGAGTGGATGGATTTAATATCGTCAACACAGCATCACACCTCAGCTTACGAGCCTTCTGTCCGCTTGCGGCTCAGCTCGTAGCTCTCTTCTGTTAGATGATTGCCGCCATAGGCGCAGACTATGGGGGGGCGTCGGAGCTGGTGCCCCCCCTGGTGAAATCCAGGGGTGGCAGAGCCCCCCCCCCCCCCCCGTCCCCCCCGGGCCCAGGCCATGATCCTTACCAAGACGCTGTTTACGTGCCATGTAACGAGCTTCTAGTAGCGGCATGTAAACAAAATAACGCCCACGTTGCCTTTATTGACAAAATACATGGGAAATGGAATCCCAGCGTGTTTTCATTAGCTTCAATCTCCAGTTCTCGCCAAAAGATAACGCGCAGCAACCCCCCCCCCCCCCCCGGCCCCCCCTCCCCCGGGGAAATGAAAAGTCTACGCTGCTGATTGCCGCATAAGCGGGATCTCGATCTTGACGGGAGCCCTTTCCTTACGCACAACGACGATCCATTTTGCTCATCACTGCACGTCTCGCGGAAAACTGTGGAACTTCACTTCTTGGCTCGTATGTGCTGCCCGGTGGTTGTGGCACCCAACCGCGCAACAAAAATCTCACCCAACCACGAAACGAGTCGAGCACAACAACAAAAACGAAGCACGCTGAGGCGTTCACTCGCAGCTAAACGACGAGACAGAAATGCTCGCATTGTGTTGTGTGACGACAGAGCTACAATGTTGCCACCGAAAGCAGTGTTTACTCTAGGGTGCGATTGGAGCAGGGTGCGATTGGAGCCTTTTGTGACGGCTTCCGACCGGCTCCGCAACAAAAGTACTAAAGTTTTTGCGCTCGTTACGTCGAGGGAGCCTTCATGTAGACAAACGTCCTTTTTATTTTATATATGATCTCCCGTTATTAATTCAACCTTTCGTGAGCGTATGTACGAAACCGCACCCCGAGTTTTGCTAGTGTCAATGGCTGACATCCGTAGCTGCTGCGTGACGTCACAAAACGCAAAGGTTTGTCAGGTAGTCGAGATAACAAGCGTTGGTCGATGGATGCCTTGCATTTTGTTTCGAATTATATAGTCTCCTAGGCTGTACCCTACTAAAATACGGTTCTTTTAATGCAGTTCCCAAGCGTGCGTAAAAAAAGTCACGCCTTTTAGCAGGATATTACTCGAAAACAGCCATAAGCTTCGAGCAAACGTATACCGTTTCGCGCAAACACAACTGCGACGGCCACCGATCGAAGTAGGAGCGCTTGACAAAGCAAAGGATGCGGATTTCGCCTCTGAAGCGGCAACTAGGTACACGAAGCGCCATCTGGGTAGACATTTCGGCGGACCCACTGGACGGTGATGAGGCTGCGGGTCGTTAATTCCCTCAGAGGCGATGCCCGCGAATCGAAGGCAAGCGGCGAATCGTTCAAATGCATGTCGTCACTTGACTTGGACGAGCTTGGTGAATCGTAGCCACTCTCAATTTTCACCTGCGGTTTAAACAGAATTTGGCTGCACACGTGCTAAATACAACTTCTGGGCCGGCTTGCTAGAAGAAGTGTCTCAGTTGAGACTGCTCAAAGAAAGCGCTGCCAAGGCTCGGGCGCGCGAGCGTCTGAGACTCGGCTTAAGCTCGAGCGCTAGCCTTGACAGCGCTTTCTTTGAGCAGTCTCAACTGAGAATCTGCTTTGAGCAAGCCGGCCCTAGTATCGTTTCCAGGTGGCCTAGCTGTTGGTTTCGGTTTCGCTGCATAATCAAATTGATTGATCCGATTTGGGCGAGGAGTGGATGGATTTAATATCGTCAACACAGCATCACACCTCAGCTTACGAGCCTTCTGTCCGCTTGCGGCTCAGCTCGTAGCTCTCTTCTGTTAGATGATTGCCGCCATAGGCGCAGACTATGGGGGGGCGTCGGAGCTGGTGCCCCCCCTGGTGAAATCCAGGGGTGGCAGAGCCCCCCCCCCCCCCCGTCCCCCCCGGGCCCAGGCCATGATCCTTACCAAGACGCTGTTTACGTGCCATGTAACGAGCTTCTAGTAGCGGCATGTAAACAAAATAACGCCCACGTTGCCTTTATTGACAAAATACATGGGAAATGGAATCCCAGCGTGTTTTCATTAGCTTCAATCTCCAGTTCTCGCCAAAAGATAACGCGCAGCAACCCCCCCCCCCCCCCCCCCGGCCCCCCCTCCCCCGGGGAAATGAAAAGTCTACGCTGCTGATTGCCGCATAAGCGGGATCTCGATCTTGACGGGAGCCCTTTCCTTACGCACAACGACGATCCATTTTGCTCATCACTGCACGTCTCGCGGAAAACTGTGGAACTTCACTTCTTGGCTCGTATGTGCTGCCCGGTGGTTGTGGCACCCAACCGCGCAACAAAAATCTCACCCAACCACGAAACGAGTCGAGCACAACAACAAAAACGAAGCACGCTGAGGCGTTCACTCGCAGCTAAACGACGAGACAGAAATGCTCGCATTGTGTTGTGTGACGACAGAGCTACAATGTTGCCACCGAAAGCAGTGTTTACTCTAGGGTGCGATTGGAGCAGTGTAAATTCAATTACTCGTGAAGAGGGGCATGCAAAATTCAGATATTGCACGTACGATGCGTCTTGACACAATAACAACAATATTCAATTGTTTTCTCGAATACAAAATTTGACCGGACAATCCCTTTAAAAGAAGCTTCAAAACCGGTCCTCTCGAGGTCGGCCGTAGTTTAACGGAAGAGTGTGAACGGGCCTTTATGCGGAGAGCAAGTCGTCTGCCTCTTGTGCAGACGCCAGAACGGTGACAAAAGAATGACGCCGAGTACTGATTAGCTTCGATTAGAAGTATAGTCGGAAGACCATGGTAGACCTTAATGCTAGATGCCTTGAGGTCTGCTCACGGTGTAAGATACACTCAAGGAGGTTATAATGGGCAGGAGGTGGCGTCCCTATCCCCAATGCATGGAGCGAAGTGTAACGGAAGTAGGCGTGGCCACGAGCCGCAACGAGCATTTCTTGACCAATGGGAAGCCTAGTGAGTGGACGCCGCCATTAATTTCGGTGCAAACAACCGCGTTGCCATGACAGTTCCGTGGCAACGCGATTGTGTGCACTGAAAGTAATGGCGGCACCCACTGTTATTTGAAACAGCGCTGAACGGGAGGAATCGTAGGTCCGAGCGGTCCGAGCGGAGCCGGAGCTTCGAGCACGAGCATACACTGCAGCTTTGGACAGTGCACAGATCGCACGAGCGCGCATGCAAGCCAGGAGCGCACAGAACAACGGGCTCGCGTTTCCAATTCTGACTTCGCTTGCACATAATGTGGAACTAAGTATAAACACTCACGCTGCAAAGCATTTGCATTGTGGACGCCCACGGCGGACGCCGACCGCATCGAAAGCTAGCCTCGTGAAGCACACGCCGGAGCAGATTAGAAAGCAGACGAACCGCCGGTGCGCTACCCCACGGCCTCGGAACGGGTGCGCAAGGCAGTCTGGGATTAAACGCCTCTTCCGGCTTCACTCAGGCTGACGTCATGCCGGGTCCTGTCTGTTTAAACGTCCTTGGCCTACACTCTTTAGATGAAAACACGGCGGGCTGAACGCGCGGCGCGAGGAAACAGATAGCGTTCATTCGACGGGCATCCGAAAGGCTGCATCTTTCGGCGGCCACCGTGCTCGCGGCTGACAGTGCAGCCGGCGGCCAAACGGCGAAACTGTGGGAGAGCGAAAAAAATTGTCATGACACCCCGGTACACCGTGGTCTTTCTGCACGTGCGACAACCTTGCTGGAGCTCTGCGCGTGTGGAGCATGAGGCAGCACGCGCCGTCTTGTGCACTGCTGCCTGCCTCCTGCGTCTTACACCGTGCCCGTGCCCACGGGTAGACGAGTCATTTGCCGGTGCCGCTTGAAACCATAGTGAGAGCGAGAAAGAGAGAGAGTGAAAAGCGAACTTTATCGGCACGTCGCGAGGAGCGGGCTGTCCTCACCTGAAGAGTATTATCTTTCACCGTGGGTGTACCCACTATGCTTTTTTTTTTCATTCAGCCAATAAGAGCTTGGCGTTCTGACATCTCTCGCAAACCCTGTGCAAGAAGAAGACCTTGCGCTCCGCGTAGGGAAGGCTATATGGAGAGCAAGTTCACCTGCTGCTTGTAAACGGGTCGCTGTAATGGCATAATGCCCAGCTTTAATTGGCTGACTAAAAAAAAAAATAGTAAGTAGACCTTAAGGCATTTACTTCGAAGCCTGCCCACTATCCTTTTAATGAAAGCCAATTAGAGCTCGGTGTCTTTTTGACGTCACCGTAACTCCTACGTAAGAACCAGACAACTTGCGCTCCGCGTATAGAAAAATACCGTGCAAAAAAACGAAATGAACAGAATAATACGGAAGTGATGTCATCAGCGGTATGGTAGTCACATGACCTGACGTACATTTTGCGAAACTGTTAGCGCAAACAAGCTATCGCCGGTTTTCTCTGCTTTTTTTTCTCAGTAATGATCAGGACTGTCATCAAAACTACTATAGGGGGGAAAGTACTCAGCTGGGGCACTAACTTTCAATGCCCACCAATATTCTTTGGAAGTAAATTAAAAAAAGCGCCGAAGCACCGTGTTCACGCTAACAGTGTCACGCAGTCTACGTAATGCCTTTTTGTGTGTTATATGTACTATAATTTTGTCAGCTATCGCCAAAACAGTCTACAAGATTTTTTTTTTCAAATTAAAATTTGAGAAACATTTTGCCTTTTTACTCTTGGTAACGAGAAAAATATTTGGTGGGTCTATCAATTGATTATAATCTCTATGCTGAATAAAAAGCAAGAGCCTCACCTGGATAGGTAGTGAGAGGTGAGCCTCCGACGCGAATGCCTGAGCGCCATGAAGAGCCGCGGGTAGCAGACAGCGAACAGCAGCACGGGCATCAGCCCAGCGCCCACGTACAGGACAGTTCTGTACAGCACGGGCTTGGCGTCGGCACAGCCCGTACCACACACGGTACAACTCCAATCAAGAGCATCGTAACCCATTCGACCCCAAAGACCCGAGGTGGCCGGCAGGAGCAGCACTGCCGGCAGCAGCCAGCATCCAGAGACGAGCAGCAGGCAGCTGCCCTGACTGAAGATTCGGCCGTACGCACGAGGCCTAACCACGCTCACGTAACGGTTCAGCGTGATCAGCTGGATGCTGGCCAGCGAGCACCCAACAGCCACGTGACGAGTGGTGGCGGTCAAGACACACAAGGCGCGACCGTACGCCCAACCGCCGTTGTAGAAGACCGCAGAGTCCAAGGGCCCGTTGAAGAGACTAAAGAGCAGATCTGCTAGGGACAAGTTGAGGACGAAGGCGGTGGTGGCTCGAGACCGAAGTCGAGGGCTCTGCAAGAGTGCTGCGACCGTGATGAGGTTCACCACTATGCCGGCGATGGACAAAGATGACAAGAGCACAAAGTGGATGTCCAGAACGCCCTGTGGATTCGTGCCCATGGTCTGAAGCAGCCTCGAGCTGTTGTCGTAGACTACGGTCATCTTGAGCGTGGTTTCGTTGGCTGACATAGCAGACGGTGGGTCTCCGTTGCCCTTGAGAGTTTCCGTATCGCAAACCTGGCGTTCTTGCGGAAGTGTCTCTGCTCGCTCGGGTGAATGGCCTCTTCGAAGGGGCGTTCTCGGTGTGGGAAAGTTTAGCGCCGTCGGATGGTGTGATTCCCAAAAACATACACTGACCTGTTGATTTCGGCGCTTAAAACTCCTACAGGAGATACAAATTATGACAGATTTATAGAAGAATTTTTCATGTTGGCTCGATTAGATGCGGCGGACGGGCTTGCTTCTTCGACGTTCTCGGTGTTGGAAACTTTCGCTCCGTCAGAGGGCGTGTCTTCTAAGAAAAAGCGCTGACCTGTTGATTTCGGCACTTTCTGTAAGACCCGTAGAGAATGCACACGCTGTAGCAGCTTTCTACAAGAACCTTTCGCGCTATGTTGGCTTGGTTAGATGCGGTGGACGGGCCCGTTGGAACCGCTGATGGCGAAAGTGAAGTAGCCGAAGACGGTGGGTGCGGAAAGCATGATTGCACCATCGATGGGTGACAGCGTTTGAGCCGTCGTGGAAGAGCTGACAAAAGATTCCAAGGCTGCATTCGAGGAGCCGTCGCGTCGAAGAAACAGGTCCGTGTTATTTCCGCCTCTGGCGTCACCGGATGGGCTTCCGCCATCAACCACCGCTTCCGGTTCGAGATGAGAGCCCGCTCGATTTTCCAGAAAGCCCGAGGGGCGATAAACAGCGCCGATTACTTCCAGCCAGAAAGAAATAAAAGAAAGAAACTTGTGCAATGTGGCAGTGTTATTTTGTCAAATTAAAGCGGGAGGGCTGCCCTCGAAACATTTTGCTACAAACAATGGACCCTTTTTCAAAGAACGTGCCGTCCAGTAGCTTTGACGAGGCCGCCATATTTTGGGCTGGAGGATGGGCCTGCATTTGACCACGAGTCGTGCCGCATGCGTCAGCCTTCGGCGCGCATTCGGAACCACTAACATGTTTCGAGCAGGAAGCGGTGCCCGAAAATATGGAGGCGGCTAACGTTGCTTGATGTACTTACGAAAAGAGTATATTGCAAGCATGGTGTCCCGGCTTGTGCCCCATGCGTGAAAGCACGCTCAGCCCGTCCATGAATGTACTTTTTCCAGGCTTGCCATTGCACATGCTTCCTCGAACGAGTATAGACATGACGGCGGCCAGGTGACCTGCTCACCATCGAAATAAATTCTGGTCACCCCTAAAGTCTGAAGCACAATCTTAGCAGAAATCGAGTCGCATCGCGCCGCCGAGCGGCGTAACCATAGCAACCGTCGCTGACGTTATCACGGGACGGCGCGGCATTGGGCCATGTGATAGCGTTGCCGCGAAGCGACGCGATTCTTGCTCACATGTGTTGTGGTCGTTGGGCCTGTCATACGTCTATTTTTCGCCACCTGACGCTCTCGTCCGTACCCATACGCGGAGTCTCTGATACGTCACGCCGCAGTGGTAGCGCGTCGGGCACACTTCCGATCTGGGGCCGTGGGCGGAAGGAGCCCTGCAGAACGGGCATTCCTGCGTTGTTTTCGAAGAAACCAAACTAAAACCTGTCTTCTCGCCAAAACGCCGCGACTGGGGCAGCACCAAAAGAGCCGGGAAGGGTTTGAAGTAGTTCCGTCGATTAAAAGTTTTAACCCGAATAATTGCCACCCTTTAATCGATTAATTAAACGAGTGATCGATTCCGTTCACTTTCATGCAAATTATTTTCTTAAAACATCTATTTTTTTTCCGCTGATTTTGTGATAAACGGCGCAATATGCAATTTGCGCCGTTTATAATAAATAATACCTACAAATAAATATTTTGGTTTTATGCGTTACATCAGTGAGAGCGGTCGTGTTCCTTGATAACACGGGGAAAATATCGATGCTTGCAAGTGCTGCCGAAACCAGGTTCTCACGAACAGTAAGAATTAAGGCCATGCATAATAGGGTGTTTGAATGCCCATACACACAGTTGCTTTTTAGTGCGTTTGACTGCGCTACACCAAGAAACGGAGCAAGTAACCGGCACATCTATGTTTCGTATGAAGCGTGGAATTTAATTAAAAGAGTAGCTTGAGGGGGCACGCGAAATGCCAAGCAGGGATGTCCTGCAGGACATCCCTGCTTGGTATTTCGCGTGCCAAGCTTTTCGCAGCCGCAACGCAGTCAAACACACCCAAACGCCCCCAAACGCAACTGCTTATGGGTTTTTAGAACAGCGTTACCGCTGCCTACCGCGGCCACAGTGTACTGTTCCCGGTACAGGTTGTGCCAACGTATACCTATCCAACTGGGTATGCCCCCAGCTCCGCATTGAGGGTATCACGTGATACCCTCACCTGGGGCTGGGGGCATATCCAGATGGATTGCTTGCTGTTGCTTGCTGTCTCTCGGTGCTTTTGAAGTAAGCACGAATGATTGTAAGCCTCCCAAAAGATACATTCGCGTGCGTGATTCATTCGCTTGACGTCGGTGTTGGTTGTTTTTATAAGTCACTCTCGTTGGACTTGGGCATGAGTATAGCGATCCCGCCACTGCCCAGAGCGGCAGTACAACAGGGAGCTCGCGCTCTTACTTCGAAGCATGCTGTATCATCATCATTATCGTAAACTTTAATATTCAAAAAAAAAAAAAAATTAAAGGAGCTTGCTATGGTAATCTTGCGGTCCCTGGTCGGTGCCCTTAATCCAGGGGGGCTATGTTGCACGTTTTGGACTCCCAGGAGACTAGGCAGAAGGAAGTGACGTCAACAACGCTCTTTGGATGTTGATTGGTGGAGTCGCTGATGACGCGTTGCGTGGTGCTGCTAAGATACGTTCATTCACACCTACGTCACTTCCTTCTCCCTAGTCTCCTGGGGGTCCAAAACGTGCAACATAGCCCCACGGGGCTCCGTTTTCCGCCCAGATTCGGCGGGCTCGCTCAACCAGTCGCTGCTGGTTACCGAGCTCTGTGCCGAATAGGGCCGACTCTCTGGAGGAACAGATAGGGAAAGGAAAGGGGGTAAAGATACATTTGCGTGCGTGCCTCATTTGTGTTTGTGTGTGTGTGTGTGTCTATACTGCCTGGAGTTAGTCTGCCTCAACTGGCGACTTGTCTCTCACCAGTAGACGAGTAATATATATAGTTAGTGCAGTGCAACCGCTATCTTGGTCTTTTACGTGCACCACGGAGTAGAAATACACGACCGCACGCCGGCAAGACGCTTATCCAGATCGAAACGGGCAGGGGCGGAGATTGATTGTGCCCATTGCTCGAGGCTTATTGGTGTTGGTTCTTTCTTTTTGTCACTCAATTGAACCAGAGCATAATAAACAACAACAATTTGTGTCTTTTTAGAGCGCAGCTTTTAGGGGCCCGTTCCCGGCTTGAGCGGCGTCGGCGTCGCCGTCGGCGTCGCCGTTGGCGTCGGCGTAACCAAGGTCATCCCAAGGTCACGTGACCCCTCCCAAGGTCATTTCAAGGTCACATGACCCCAAGATGACCCCACGTGACCCCATGAAGGTCACGTGACCCATCTGAGGTCACGTGACCCCCGAGGTCACGTGGTCTCCACCCCAAGGTCACGTGACCCCTCCAGGTGACGTGACCCCCAAGGTCACGTAAACCCCTGAGGTCACGTGACCCCTCCCAAGGTCATCTCAAGGTCACGTGACCCCCACGTGACCCCCTGAAGGTCACGTGGTCTCCTCCCCAAGGTCACGTGACCCCTCCAGGTCACGTGACCCCCAAGGTCACGTGACCCCTCAGGTCACGTGGGGGTCACCTTAGGGGTCACGTGACCTTGAGGTGACCCCCACGTGACACCTAGGTCACGCCTCCCCGAGGTCACGTGACCCCCCTCTCCGAAGTCACGTGACACCCCCCCCCCCGAGGTCACGTGACCCCCCCCCAGAGCATATTAAAGAATGAGGGGAGGAGGAGGAGGAGGAGGGGTCTACCCTCTCCTCAGTACCCTTCCCTCCTCCTCCTCAAGAGCTGCGCTCCAATTCGGCGTTACAGGGATTTGTAAACGGCTTTCACTTTTTTTCCCTCTTCCACTAGGAGTAATCTTTGGGTTTCTCCTTATTTGATCATGTCATCTTATTTGGTAGCGGAAGTGTACGTCCGGAGGAAATATTCCTTCAGGGTACGAGAGTGCAAAGCATTAAAACCGGAGTCACATGTAACATCTACAAGCACTGTTCGTAGCTTACATGCTACGAACAGTGCTTGTGGCAATTGCTCAATGGATTCATTCGAAAGCTTGACCTCTGTTGCAAGCTGTGGAACCCCTGCACAATTACGGTTACAAGCATCAGCTCTTTGCTTTCGATTGCACGTCAGCTGCAACAGTACTCGTGCAGCGGTAGCTTAAGTCAAAGGTACAAACAAGCTTGCCCGCTCGCAGCATTTTTGATTATCACACAAATTTTCAGAATCCCACGTTTTGCAATGTCGATTGTTTCGCCATTGTGTAGTGGTTCAGACGACGTCCACCTAAGTCTAACATTGTCAGAACAAATAGAAGTAAAGTTGTGGACGTATGTGACATATATAAGTAAAATACACGTGGCAGAAAAAAAAGAGATTATTGTTTAATTTTTTGCTGACAAGTTTTTGTTTTCATTTAAATAAATCCTAATAGTGTCCACACCGTAAGTTTTTGTTTTGACAATATTAGGTTCCGGTGGCAACCTGAACCTAATACTGGATCGAAAGATAAAAACGAGGGAAGATATTTCTCTATGAACGACTTCCGAACCTCATTCATAGAAAAATATCTTCCCTTGTTTTTATCTTTCGCTCCATTTGACGTTCTCCTCCCACTTATTTCGGCTCTGCCGAGCCGAAATAAGTGGGAGGCGTTCACTTGATCGAACGCCGTTCTAGCGAATGAAAACGAGACCACGACGTTTCATCGAATGACTAGCGAATGGGTCTAGTTACATAGACAGCTCGGATTAGCTTTCTTTTGTAATGTGGCGCCTTGTCTGCCGCTGCGAAGCGGCGT